CTAGTCTCAGTAGCCGACGAGTCGACATTCTCCTCCACCACACAACTAGTCTCAGTAGCAGACGAGGCAAGTGACCCTACCACACGACTTGTCTCAGTAGCAGACGCGTCAACATATTCAACCCCACAACTAGTCTCAGTAGCCGACGAGTCAACATTCTCCTCCACCACAAAACTAGTCTCAGCGGCAGACGAGTCAATATTCCCCATAGCTCAACCTTCCAGTGTTGAACACGACATAGCTTCAACCCTCGCACTTAGAGACACACTTCACCCCACGCTCGCTGCAACACCCGAGCTAGCTCCCACAGTAACGCAAATAGATAATGATAATAACAATATGTACTCTGTAGATAGCGTAGGGGAAGTTCTTGAACCTTCTAGAATATCACCCCCTGCGTCAATCGCTGCCACGTCCACCCGCTACAGCACGATAGCGGACGAAGACGATGATGCCGTGATAGAGTCCTCCCAGAACCTTCTACAACTTTCTCTCCTCTCTCCAGCCGCAGGTGAGAGTACCCCGGGCCCTGGCGATGACGTCACGGTTATGTCAAGGACGGTCGCGCTGCCGGCGTCGTTTGTCTCGGGTTATTCGAGCAGCCTGTCCGACCAGACGGAGGTCACAGAGGTCACGGAGGTCAAGGAGGTCAGTGTGAGTGAGAGTGTGTTCCCAGTCACCCGCCTTGTTTCCCTCGCGGCCACCGAGTTTCTGAGTGCGCATGACCTTGGCCTTGACCTGTCTAACAGTGGACTCGGGTCCACGCATGCCAATACTTTGTCTGTTGTGATGCCGTCAGAATTTGATGCATTGTCCAGCATGTTTGATAGTGACCTTTCCCTTTCAGTGAGTCGTACAGGTGAGGAGGTTCTAGAAATCTCCACGAGCTCTCCGATGTCCAGTTCTGTATCCGGACGTCTCCAGTCTGAAGACCCAAGTGTACCTGAGAATACAATTCTTTTAGGAAGTAGTGTACCGCAGAAGCAATCTTCTCTGAGAGTAAGTGTAAGTGAAGAAAACTATGGTCAACCTCAGAGTAGAACAAACATACAAGATTTGCATGTCTCTACTTCACGTGTTCTGAGTGAAATTGACGCCTCGACTGCACATTTTTTGAGTGAAATTGAACCCTCGACTTCACCTTTTTTAAATGAAATTGACGCTTCGATTTCACCTGTTCTGAGTGAAATTGACCCCTCGACTTCACTTTTTTTGAGTGCTGTGAAAATTCTCACTGACTTTGACATGCCACCTCTGACCTCCTCAGTAGATCCTGAAGGATTGTCTCAGAGCCCGTCATCTTTGACACTCGTGTCCCCCAGCATGACTGCACCCCTTCCCCTCAGCCCCATCTCCTCAGACACTATCGAGAATTCCTTGTCTCTGAGCTCAGCAGACTCGCCCACAGCGGGGACGCCCTCTCTCCTCGTCTCGGCAGATAGCGATGACGTTCTACGCGCCTCAAATACTATGTCTGTAGTGCACGAAACGAGTCCTCCCCTGCATGCCCCTCCCCCTAGCCTAGATCTTTTCACAACGAGTGCTGCAGACAGGCCTGAGTTTTCGTCTGTTGCTAACTCGGACGATGACGCAGAGGGAGAAACGTTAGTGACACCGACCTCAATGTTTTCTCTCCTAGATTTGGAACAGTCATTATCTGACTCAAGTGATTCAGCTTCCTTGCCAGAAGTAAATACGATTATAATCTCCTCCAAAAGTGCCTTACTGCCATCAGCGTCTGACGCGACATCGTTCCTTTCAGACAATGATTTTCTTCCCGCCTCTCAGTCACCGACCCCAGGTCTGTCTGCCCCCGCCTCACACACTGTCCACGTGTCCCCTGTGTACTCACAGACTGACATTGCTGGCGGTTTATTCTCACACGTTTCTCTCACCTCCGAGGTCCAGGATACCAGCACGACGACCGGTCTTCTAGTTGTTCCATCGTTATCGGAAGCAATCTTCGCCACTTTTGATCCCACGGACCCACAGAGCTCGCTCTACCTGACCCCTAGTCAAGCCACCAGTTTGACACTGAGTTTCAGTTCACTTGACCTAGCCCCAAGCCAAGTGACAAGTTTGTCACTGAGTGACAATCCATTCGACCTAGCCTCTAGTCAAGCAACAAGTTTGTCACTGAGTGACAATCCATTCGACCTAATCTCTAGTCAAGCGACAAGTTTGTCACCGAGTTTCAGTTCTGTTGAAATATCCCCCGTGTCTGACAGCTCAACGGATGTCATTTTCTCCGATGATGGTCTGTCGTCCTTCAAAGAAAGCCCGAATTCCTTTTCAACAACGACGGTTCTTCCAGATGACGTATCAAGTGCTTTAGCCGAGCAAAGTGATTTCGTCGTCTCTGATGCAGACGTGACGGACACCGGGCCTAGATCGTCTGAGAACCCCAGGCCAAGCCCCGATCTGCAGACGTTCTCGTATTCACAAACGCCTGATGTACCCAGCCTAACTGCCCAGGCCGCTCTTCAAGATGTCAGCCAAACGGTTTCTTCTCCGCAAATTGCTTCATCTGGAGATCTTGCTCAAAGTTCAGACGTAAGTCCTGATATCTCCGCCCCCGCAACCCCAGACCCCAATTTGCATTCCTCTTTTGATTCATCGCTTCAAACAGAATTGGGTTTAACATTTTCTTCGATTGAACTTTCACCGACTGAGGCATCCGTGAGTGAGACACAATCACAACTGAACGTTCTAGCTAGTTCAGTAGAGCAACTAGTGAGTGCAATATCAGACTCTGGATTGTTACCAGCTTTTTCCTCTGTAAGTCGCGGTCCAAGCAACGGTTTTACATCTGTGTCTTCTAGTTCCGACGACATTCTAGCAGCTTCTGCCTTCTCAATAACAGATTTGCTAGCTGACCGATCGACCACAGATTCTGTATCGGACTCCACAGCTTTTCAACCATCACAGGACTCACCAGATGGACAAACGGCTCCCATATTGACACAAGAACCGTCACTGACACAAGAACCGTCACTGACACAAGAACTGTCACTTACACACGAACCGTCACTGATACAAGAACCGTCTCTGACACAAACGCAAGATGGCACACCAGCGTTACAGTCCTCGCCCGACATGGTGTTGACTTCCGGCGTCGCTGTGTCAGCTTCTTCCGGTCAGGACTATGAGTTGTCGGACCTCTCTGTGTCCGATATGTCAGTATCGGTTTCCCTCAGTGACCTAAATTTGCCCGTGACCTTTGACGATTTCACCGCCACCGACTCCATGAACCAAGTTCCGGCGACTATAGCCTCGGGCCAGCTTCAGCCATCCATGTCCCTGGACCTTGAGTTTTCAAACACGTTTTCTGATAACGCGCAGTCTTCACTGGTCGCGAGCCTTGACTCTCCGACGCTCACTCTGATGTCAGTACCTAGTGTGCACTTTGACATCGACTCCTCAATGACCTTCATAACGCGAGACTCAACACAAACGGTGAGCGTATCAGAGACGCTTCCTGCGCCCTCCTCCGGAGTACTGCCGATAGATGTCTCCTCATCGTATTCGTCTAGTTACCTTGATGTGTTGTCAGCAAGCCCTGACTTTCCCTCTACAACCGGGACATCTCAGGATATGTCGCCAACATCAGCGCTACCCGCGGTGTCCAGTGACGTCAGTCTCCCTGAGATCCCGGTGTCGCCGAGTGGCACATATGTAAGTGAACTACCTACAGCAGACGTAACGTCAGGTCTCATGCCAAGTGACGTATCAGAGCTCCCGGCTGATGACGTGTCAATTTCTTCCACCTTTGATGGGTCCCCGCAAAGCTTACCTGGTGACGTTCTGTCTCAAGCCTTAAGTTCAGCGCTCGAGTCATCGACGCCGAATTTGGACTTCACCTCATCGAACATTTTGCAATTTGAATCCCTTTCCAATCCAGGGTCGTTTCCGTCATATCATGAAGACTTGTCGGTCACCAAAAGTTTGCTGGATGTTGTCTCAAGAAGTCTGCCGGAGGATATTGCAACAATAGTTCCTAGCTCTAGAGATACATTCTCAACATTGACTTTTTTCTCTGCGTCATTACAAGAATCGCTACTGGATTCATCCTACAGCCGCCCATCCTTGCCATCGAGTGTTTCCGCATTCATCCCAAGCTTGGACGTGGTCTCACTGAGTCTAAAAGATGATGTCGGAATGTCTGTGTCAAGTCCTCCCGATGGCGTCTCAACGTTGAGTGAAAACTACGTGCCATCACAGGAATCTCAGCTTGAGTCTGTCTCGAGTTCTGCGACATTTTCATTCCCAGTTTCCCTAGATGATTTCTCTGGCACACTAAGTGTTGGTACGATCTCAGCGAGCGTAAACAGCGACGCTGTGATGTCGGTTCTAAGTTCAAGAGAAACGAGCACGACATTTAGATTTGACTTTCCTACTTCGCAGTTTTTGTTGATTGATTCATCCTCGCCGAGCGCCGCTGTCTCAGTGCCGCCATTGTCACCGGAAGTAACGCCATCACCCCTGTCCCCGGATAGCACACTCAGATTTCCCGACGACAGCCAAGCGTCATCTGTCTGGTCCTCCTCGGTGAGACCGTTCTCGGATTTCGCTACGGTGGACGGTGTTGATTCAACCATGACCCCTGTGAGTATATTCCCCACGCCAGTTTCTCTGGAATCTCTGACGTCAACAAGAGCTGGTACCATTGCCTTCATCTCTGATGATAATATGTCCTCACAGGTTTCTTCTGACGCATATCCATCTCTCGCTCCATTCAGCTCTGGCACGGAGACCGACTCAAGCACGTTCCCCACAGAGCTACAACAATCAACGATCTCACCATCCGCGTCTGTCATTCCAGACTCCTCGTCCTCTGAGCCTCTCTCCTCAAGGAGATCAGACGAGTCGGCGGCGTTGTTGTCGTCACTTTATTCTACTTCATCGTTACTCCCATCGTTTTCGGAATCATCGATATATTATGTCCCCCTCTCGTCTGACCAAGCCTCACCACCACCACCATCATCATCACCATCATTCCTCGACCTTCCTTCAAGCGCCCTGGCTACGTCACAAGATCAAGCATCCCCTGCCCTAGACTCCGCCCTCCCGCCTGGCTCCGCGAGTCCCCCCACTGTCAGTGTTTATAACTCTCCCACAATGCTCACCGATCTCCAGGTTTCTTCCTCCCCAGCCTCACGACAGTCTCCCGAGTTCTCCCCAAGCTCAGGTTTCTTGACCACGACAGACCAGGTGGGTGCGGACATTGTCCACTCGTCCTCTCCTGTTGTACCGCATGACCCCGTCTCCTCTGACACTCCCCCCTCCCCCCGTGTATCTCTCGGCCTTGTGTACTCTCTAACAAACTCTGCCCTCGCCGGAGACGATCACCAAACGTCTCCCGGCTTGCACGCTGTGTTTTTTTCCTCGACTGTGGATGTTTCATTTCCTGTGAGCATGCTTGACCCCTCCCTCTCTACTGTTTCCAGATCTGATGTGCATGAAGATTTCATTTCTCCTGACTCTAATCTATATGAATACGCTTCCAGTAGTATTTCTATTTCTAGCACTTTTATTGTACCCTCCGAATATAGTATTCTGCACACAAATACATTTTTACCTTCCTCTGACGATGTTTTCAACGCACTAACCGATTCATACCTGGCTTCTGAATTTATTACCTATACCGAAGACTTTATTGTATCCAGTAACCTTCTATCGCAATCTGTGCAAACTGCACCTTTTCCCTCTACCATAGACATCACCGACAAAACCCGGGTGAGTACGTTTGTGTTAGAGACCTCTAGCGATTCGTCAGTCTTTCACCCCAGCTCAGTGCATGAGCCAGCCACGCTGACCACTTCGGAGTCTGCACTTTCCTCACTGGGGGTTCTGGACTTAGACAGTATGGTTCTAGATTTGGACAGTATGGATTCGCCTCAAAGTTTTTCACTTCAATCAAGTCAGAGTTACTTTCAAATCAAGGAGTCAAATTATGAAACGCAATTAATTTACTTAGGAAAAACTTTAAGCACGCAGAAGGAAGGGCCGCTGGAGACCGCGTCACATGTGGTCAGTGACATATACACTGTAAGACAGTCTGTCCAGCTGAGTGAGAGCTTGTCTATGTCAGAAGCTAACAGTATATTTCTAGAAAGTGATCAGTTAATATCAACTATGTCTCCTTCTTTCAGTAGTGAATACTTTTCTAATCTAAGTCTCGAAGAAATAACAGAAGGAACCAGTATAATAATATTTCTGTCGTCTGACACTATAAGTCCACCTTTTACATCTCACACGAGTGGAAGTCGAGCAACGGTGGTCAGTCTCGGTAGTGTGACGTCAACAGTGACCTTTGACATCGTCGATTCGTCTCTCGTATCAGACGTGAATGTCACGCAGCTCGTAGATTCCCCGGTTCCGACAGAGCGTGTGTCTGTGTCGTCTGCCGGTATCGGAAGTACTGTGTCGTCTGCCGGTGTCGGAAGTACTGTGTCGTCTGCCGGTGTCGGAAGTATTGTGTCGTCTGCTGGGTTTGGGAGTACTGTGTCGTCTGCCGAAATCGGAAGTACTGTGTCGTCTGCCGGGATCGGAAGTACCGTGTCGTCTGCTCATGTCGGAAGTCCTCCTCTGTCCGACTTACAGGGTGGAAGTACCCCGCTATCCGACCTTCTGCTGTCCGACCTACTAGGTGAAAGTACCCTTCTGTCCGACATACAGGGTGGAAGTACCCTACTGTCCGACCTACTCATATCGTCAGAGCGTATGTCTCTGTCGTCTACCCTGCTGTCCGACCTACTCGGTGGAAGTACTCCTCTGTCCAACCTTCTCACCCCGTCAGAGCGTGTGTCTGTGTCGTCGGCTGGTATCGGAAGTACCCTGCTGTCTGACACAAGCGGGGCCTCAGGACTGGATGTATCCGGTCTCTACTCAGTGGAAGAAGCTGGTGAAAGTCAAAGTTTGATCCCCGTGTATTTGAGCTCCGTAAAGACGGACGATTTTCCTGGGATGTCGTCATCAGCAAGTTATGTGCTCCCCAAAGACAGTGGATTCGATTTTGATCCTTCGTTTTCCGCATACCCGACCACAAGTTCGTTATCATTTACTCCGGACATCAGCTCTGTTCCTACTTTCTTTGAAAGTCAGAACTTTGACAGAACGAGCTTACCCTACGAGTTTGTAAACACGCAGAGTGATTTAGAGACTGAAGCAAAAAGCCGTGACGTGTACTTGTCTGGGCCACCGTCTGAACACACGGTGATCTTGACCTTCGACACTGTCACTGACACGTCAGATGATTATAGCTGGCAGATATCACGTGACACCACCGTTCCTGATTTATTCTCCAACCAGTCACCAGGCACAGTTCAGCCACGCGCCACTTCACAGTTGTATGACGTTGATAAGTCTCTGTCCGACTCGATAGACGTGTCTCAAATATTCCAATCATTTGACGACTCGGAGTTGCTCACAGAAAAAGAAACATTTCCCGATAGTTTTGAATCTATTTTTAGCTCAACGGTTGGAGAACTAGGCGACTCAACAACAAGATCTGTTCAGTCGAGTTTGGATCTGTCTACTCACGCTGTGCCGTCTGGAGATATCGTGAGCGCGGATGTCTTGTCTACTTATAACACTGACCTGAAAGATTCAACAACACTGTTTCCCAGCACTATGGGGTATAGACATAGTTCCTCCCAGAAATATCTCGAGACCCGCTTTCACTCTATCTCTAAACTTACTGAAACGTCCTTTCCATATAGTTCTGATGAGTCAAACTCTGTCTCTCGTCTAATCAGTTTTTCTTATGACCCCTTAGAATCCACCCCCTCTCTGTTCTCTATAGATCCCCCTGTATCAGGAACATACTTTTCAGACTACTTTGAATCTTTCTCTTCACAACTGAGTACAACAAAAGCCATACCCAATACTTTTATGATACCAATGCCGACATTTGATGAGCCTAGTGGTTATACCTCAAACAGTGTTTTCTTTAGCTTCGAGTTTCTCTCAAACATGTATGATAGTGATACTCCCAGTGCTACTGACGACACCAGAACATTAGTTACGACATTTGACAACAGCGAAAGCTTAGATCCCTCTCCAAGCTCTATCAATTCACTTGATGACTTAACGAGTTTGTCTTTGACCTTGCCTTACATCTCAGACCAGCCTCAAAGCCTCAACACGGCGCAGTTTGACAGATTTTCCAGAAGTCCTCCCAGCAATGAGATAGATGTGACGTCCTTGTATGTGGAAGATTTGAGCACGTACCATTCACCAGACCTCGCCGATAGTTCGTCACAACTGTCGTCACCGAAGCCGTCCGGAGATTTCCACCAGTCTCTGTCTGCATCTGACGGTGTGGTTATCATGTCTCCTCCTAGCTCCGTCCTCGGAATCTCCTCGTTATCAGAGGGAGAAAACGGACATGTTTCCCTGGATGGAACCGGATACTTCTCAGAGTCGTTCGATGGAACCGGATACTTTTCAGAGTCGTTTGATGGAACCGGATATTTATCAAAGTCTTTTGATGGAACCGGATACCTCTCAGAGTCGTTGAGTAAAACTGGATATTTCTCAGAGTCGTTGGATGGAACCGGATACTTCTCAGAGTCGTTGGATGGAACCGGATACTTCTCAGAGTCGTTGGTTGAACCGTCTTTTTACAGAGACATGACGACGCGAACTGTCCAAGTGTCTTATACTGTAGGCGCCCACTCCCAGATTTTTGGATCTGTCGATATGTCCGCTAGTGCTGCTTCTCAGTTCGCTGTCCTAGATGGTGGGTTTTCATCCTTTACCGGGGACATGGAATCATCGGCATTGTCTGGATCCTCTCTATTATTGCCATCGCCTCTAGATGTATTTTCTTCTTCCCCGTCTGTCTTTGACGTATTCAGCGCTGACCGAACGTCAGACCTTGTGTCACCGACCCCGATCTCCGACGCTCCATTAACACCTTCTCTTCCGTCAAACGATGATGTCACCCCAGGATTGTCCCAGGGTGAGGTACAATTTACTGTGACTGTGACTGGGCTGGATTCCGGGCTACCTCAAACATCTGCTGTGCCTGAGTCCTACTTTGAGCGACTCTCGCTAACGACTGGCGACCTGGCTGGCTCATCGATACAGTTCGGTTTTTTCGATACTTCCCTTACACCCTCGATACAGCTCAGTTTGTTCGATGTTTCCTCTACACCTTCGATACCGCTCAGTTTGTTCGATGTTTTCTCTACACCATCGATGGAGTTTGATATGTTCGATACCTCCCCTGCACCCTCGATACAGTTCAGTTTGTTCGATACATCCCCTACATTCTCGATGGAGTCTAGTTTATTCGATACTTTCCTCACTCCCTCGTCTCTTGCCGTAGAAACAGAGTCAGGACAATTTTCTGTCACCTCATCTTTGTCTGAGTTATCCATAATTTCTGTAGACAGCTTCTCAGAAACCACAAGTCCTCTAGTCAGTTATGTAGACAGCTTTAGAAAAACGATGAGTCCTCTAGTGAGTTCTTTGGACAGCTTTAGAGAAACGTCAAGTCCTTTCGTGAGTTATATAGACACTTTCACAGAAACGACAAGTCTGCTGACCTCTGCCGTGTCGCTGCTTCAGGGAGGTCAGGACAGCGGAACTGTTGACCCTGGTTTATCTGAAGGCGGCTCAGCGTTACTGTCTCCAACAAGCCAACCTGCTGTAGAGTATAAATCTGAAGCCCTCAACGTCCGTTCGCTTTCTGACGCCGTATTTCCTAGCTTTTTGGACTGGAGTCTTCATCTGATTTCTTCTCCCAGCACGGGCGTGATTCAGAGCAAAAGTCTGCATGTCGCTATGTCGGAGAGTGGTCTTGACACACAAGGTCATATGACGTCATTCGGTGAACGTTTGGCGTCTTCCAGTGGAACACACGGCTTCTCTACTCAACAAAGTGGGTACGACAGTGTGGGAGATTTCTCATCGTTCCAATCTAGGTCCCTAACTTACGACGACGGATCAAATCTCGTCTCGCATGAAAGTGGCTCGAGTCTCACTGACCGATTGTTCACCGATGTTAGCCTGTATGTTACCTCAACCCTTACAAGAACACTAGCGGAGTTGTATGTTACTTCAACCGTTACAAGAACACCCGCAGAGTTGTATGTTACATCAGCCGTTACAAGTACACTAGCGGAGTTGTATGTTACATCAGCCGTTACAAGTACACTAGCGAAGTTGTATGTTACTTCAGCCGTTACAGAAACTCCCTTAGA